GGGCTGTACCCCCCCCCCCCCCCCCCCCCCCCCCCCCCCCCCCCGCCCGATGAATCTTGTTAGAAGTATTCCTCTCAAATTAAATTATAAATAAGATACATCTCTTGTAAACAAATTATACTATTCAATACATTCATCTTCTATTTATATTGTCTTATTTTCTCTTGTAAAGAAAATTGATTCTTGAAAAAGAATTGGACAACCTTAGCTTTTACAAAAAATTGTTGGAATAAAAATCAGTTGAAGGAGGAACCTCATTTCAGTTTTTTTGGTTGGAATCTATAACCAAGTGAAGCCTATGTTGGTTAGTTTTTAACCGATTAGATGCTCCATTTAGGTCTATAAATAGGAGCCTTAGATAGGAGAAAGAAGGAGCTCGAAAATGCATGAATGATGAGAGCTTGAAAGAGAGATTGGATGTAATATCTCTGTAGGAGAAAGTGAGATAAGATAGAGTGGTAAAACTCTTGTAAATCTGGCAAATCTTTCTGATGATTTTTGGTTAAGAAAATCATGTAAATGTCTTGATGATTTCTGGTTAAGGAAATCATGTTAAGTCTTGGTTAATAAAGGCTTGAGGAAGAGGATTTTCTTCATCTTTAAATCTCTGCATCTGTTTCTTCTATGCTTCTGGTTCTGCAATTGCTGGTGTATTTTCTTCTTTGTAATTCTGGATTAATCTTAGCCGGGGGAAGCCCAAATTTCCCAACATCTCTCTTAAATTCAACTTGGTATCAGAGTTACTATTCTTAGTCGTGGTCATTGTTGGAATTGGTGACCCAAATTAGGGTTACCATATGTGAAAAACCCAAATTATGTTGGAATATTTGGAAATATATTTTTCCTTCTTTGCGCGTATTTGGAAAAATATTATTTCCATTATTTCACGTGTTTTATTGGAAAAATATTGAGAAAATATTTTTCCTTTATTTCACGTGATTTTCTTTTATTTTGTTTCCATCTTGGGTTTGGACATCTTCCCTATAAATAGTAGACTCTTCATTCAGTTTTAGAGACAAGAGAAGCCAATATTGCTAAGTTTTGTAATTTCTCTCCATATTGTTGAATAAAACATCGATTCCTCTGCCAATTTCTCCTCTATTTTCTTTACTTTAATCTTGTTCTTTTTCTTGTGATCTTTGTTATTTCAATTCGTCATTAATCTCAATTCCTGCGTTCGAGGCGATTTTTCCCAACAAGTGGTATCAGAGCCAAGGTTGCAGGTTCTTTGTGATTTGATTGAGATTTTTCAGAGATGACTTCATTGAAATATGATATTCCGCTGCTGGATCGCAATACAAGGTTTTCGCTATGGCAAGTAAAGATGAGGGCTGTGTTGGCGCAGATGGATTTGGACGATGCTCTGCTGGGTTTTGATAAAATGCCAGCAAACTGGACAACGGAGGAGAAACAACGGAAAGACAGGAAGGCTTTATCGCAGATTCATCTTCATCTCTCCAATAATATTCTGCAGGATGTCTTGAAAGAGAAAACGGCGGCTGCTTTGTGGTTGAAACTGGACCAGTTATGCATGACCAAAAGTCTCACGAGCAAACTGCATCTAAAGCAAATGCTATATTCTCATCGCATGGCAGAAGGAGGATCACTGGAAGACCACCTGGCTGTGTTCAAGGAAATTGTTGCAGATCTGGAAACGTTGGAGGTAAAATATGATGTGGAGGATCTGGCCTTGATCCTGTTATGTTCTCTACCCGCTTCTTATTCGTCGTTTCGAGACACGATCTTGTACAGTCGTGACACGTTGACCATTGAAGACGCTTACGATGCTTTATTCTCAAAGGAGAAGATGAAGCATTTGGTTGGAGCTACTACATCAAGTGATGGGGACGCTCTGGTTTCTCATGGTGATCGACGGAGGGGTAGACCGAAAGTGAACTTCAGCAATGTGTATTGCTTCTACTGCAAGAAGAAAGGGCATGTCAAGAGGGATTGCGACAAGTTGCAGGCTAAAGGTAATTTAGTTGCAAATAATAGGGGGCAATCTTCTAATTCGGATGATGCTAATATTACCGAGTATTTATCTGATGGCGGTGATGTGATGGTGACCGTGGTATCTGACGTGGAGTCCAAGCCTGACGAGGAGTGGATTCTTGATTCGACATGTTCGTACCATGTGTGTCCCAATCGGGACTTGTTTCAAACATATGAGGCGGTAAAGCAAGGTGGAGTTGTCATGGGAAACAACCAGTCTTGCCGGGTTGCTGGAATTGGTCGGGTCAGATTGAGGTTGCAGGATGGGACAATCAGAACACTTGATCAGGTTCGTCATGTTCCAGACTTGAAAAGGAATCTCATCTCGCTAAGTACCCTGGATGCAAAGGGGTATAAATTCTCTGGTGGAGGTGGAGCATTGAAGGTCCGAAAGGGTGCTCAGGTTGTACTGGAGGGACGGATGAAGTCTCATTTGTACATCTTGCAGGGGAGCGCAGAACCAGTTAAGAGACATTTGGACAAGTTCAGTACCGTGGTGGAAATTCAATTTGGTACAGTACCTCTTGTGACAGACTCTGGGTCAGTTCAGAACATTGCTCAGGGGAGCGTTGGTGATTTCGCTTTGCCACCAATTACAGCGGATTCACTGTGTTCACATACTAGTGTTGGACTCATGGAGCGTAGGTACAGTGTTGGAGATGTCTGCAATGCATTTGGGATCGTTGAAGGTGACAGTTCTAGTAAAGGGCCTTCTGATCATGCATCTGGAGTAGATTCTGCTACAGGGAGTGCTTCGACCCTGTTTGGTCAATAATCAATTCTTTGTTGGAATTTTGGGAATCCGGGTTTAGGGTTCGGGTGTCGCTTGTGGATGCCGGGCAGAGGAAGATGTTTTTGTGTGATGGAGAGTTTTGATTACTGCTTGAGGAGGTTGGTCATTTCGATGCAGACGGAGTCATTTCTCAGGTGGAGAAATTTTGAAGTTTTGTTTATTGCACCGGAATTTGGGTCAAGGTGGAGATTGTTGGAATTGGTGACCCAAATTAGGGTTACCATATGTGAAAAACCCAAATTATGTTGGAATATTTGGAAATATATTTTTCCTTCTTTGCGCGTATTTGGAAAAATATTATTTCCATTATTTCACGTGTTTTATTGGAAAAATATTGAGAAAATATTTTTCCTTTATTTCACGTGATTTTCTTTTATTTTGTTTCCATCTTGGGTTTGGACATCTTCTCTATAAATAGTAGACTCTTCATTCAGTTTTAGAGACAAGAGAATCCAATATTGCTAAGTTTTGTAATTTCTCTCCATATTGTTGAATAAAACATCGATTCCTCTGCCAATTTCTCCTCTATTTTCTTTACTTTAATCTTGTTCTTTTTCTTGTGGTCTTTGTTATTTCAATTCGTCATTAATCTCAATTCCTGCGTTCGAGGCGATTTTTCCCAACACTCAGTGTATCAAGATTTTACTTAATAATAGCATTCTCTTTAGGAGAACCTCAAAAAACTTGCACATGCAGTAAGTTTCAAGATTTGTGTTCTATCTCCATGTTTTGCTCACATTTTCTTCTTCGCCCCCGGGCCCGATGAATCCAACACAGTCAAGAGAAATCACAGTAAAGGGCACAAAATCGATGAAAAATAACAATTAAACGTTATTTGTTCTAAATAAACACGCCAGAAAGAAAAAAACTGTGTTCGAAATGCGCACAGACCTTGTTGGTTCCATAAATGTAATCACAGCAAGTGAATACTGAAGCAAAGTTGCTCTGTCAATTTCCTCCAACAGAGTGGTGTTAATCATGGTAAATTGCTCCTCCGTAAAATGGAATAAATTTTGAAGGACTCCAAGGGAACTCATACCTGCACGAAAACACACGTTTTTGCACTTGAGGGAGCGAGTCGAAGACTAAATTTAAATAAACAAGTTTTTAGACGAGTGAAAATGGATTTTCTTGAATACTTGAAATGTAAGATATACTCATATACAAAGTTACAAACCCACTGTGAGTTTCAATGGCTTCCATTTGCCTCAAAATAAACCATAGCCAGAAGGTGATCGTGTGTCCCGGAACAATGAGTGGACCTATAAATGAGGCAACTCCGAGGATTGTGATTTCTGCCCAATGTGCATAAGGAGCTGCAAATCCAAATGGAGCATTCTATTCATGGTGAACTCTGTGGATTCTCTCGTAGTCCCATTGTGAAGATTGCTATGTAGCCAGTAATGCGCATAGTCCTCATTAAGAAAGTACGCCAGTATCTTTTACCAAATGTTCTGTTAAATTGTTTTATAGTCCTCGTCGAAACATCATTACATTAAATCTTTTAGCATCCTCCAGTGTCCAAGTCGGGAAGAAAACTCTAATTCATAAAATTGGACGTGTAAATTTAACCATTTGAGATGCTGATACAATAATGCAATACAATACATATTCTAGCGTTCGAAAATGAGTCAAAATGTTTTTGTTTGGATATAAATTTGTCTATAAATTCAATCAAAGTCAAACATTAATTTCAATTACTCATTCATAACTTCTACTCGTTATTACTCACACATTTCATGAAATTTACTATTTTTTCTCTTTATAAAGTGAATGATCAAGCAATGAGAATACGAATTAAAACTTGAGAAGTATCGGATGTGCATCAACATGAATGTTATGAGTGAAAAGTCATTCCTTCACAATATTGGAAAATGGTTGTGATTTGGACTTATTTTAAGTCGGATCCGATTCTTCTATTTGAAACATTTGAAACATCAAAATAAATCCTTAAAAAATCGAAATTATACGTTTACTTGTTCAAAATGATGTTTGGATAAATAAGAAATTGAAGTTCAAAATGTACTCATTGAAACTGATTTAGATGTTGGAGGGAGAAAAAAAAAATTGTAATTTGTCTCACATAGGAAAAATGAGAAAGCATTTGTCAAAACACAACTATACAAGAACCTTACTGATATTTTTCATTTTCTAAAATTTTTATTATTAAAAACTTTTCGTTTGATGTGATATTTTTCCCAAAAACATTGTTGTCCTTCAAAAAAAGTGACACGTGTCACTTCATGTCACTTTTTTGACCAAAAGTGGGATGCGCACACTTTGAAATTCAAAAATTTATAGCCTAATTTAACTCGTGCGAAAGATAAGAATACACTAGATATTCTATTGATATGATTGCCCACCAATGACGATAATACACTATTTCTCGCAAGAACTTAAATCAACATTATTAAAAAAAATTATAGCAGTAGATGTACTCAAAAGTGATATGATACTAATTTTAAAAAGTGGCATATGACTCCATAATATATGAAGACATTAATTTCATCCATATCTACAAAAAGAATATAAATTAAAATGTGAGATTTTTTTTTTTTTAAAGTGATAGGGACATGTAGAAGAAAAACCAATCATCCTTGTGTTTATTTCTAAAGTTTTGATTGATATTTCTCACTTTTTTGAATTTTTGTTACTTTTTTTTAACTTCCGTCACTTACAACCGATAACTTGTTGTGTTCCTAAAATGAAGTTATATTTTATGTTTAGTTAATAAAAGTTAAACATAATCGCAAATAGACAATATGTTGAAGAAAATCGGTCATTCCTGGATCTATTCTAAGATTTTAATTTTTAATAGAACAATACATCTTTGAATAACTTTCAATTAGCTTATAAGAATTTCTTTCAAATATTAATTTATTTTTGTATTATGTTAATTGTGAATTACATTTTCATAATAGAGAAAGTGATATTGTACTTCACTCGTTAATTAAAAAGTTTCGATTGACTTTACACAAAACACTTTCCATTAAAAAGGCTCATAATTTTAAGGGGGTAAATTCATAAGTGTTTAACTATAACTCATTTCAATACTAAGAAAAAATATTTAAAATTTCAAAATCAGATATTTATTAAATTTTATTAAACAAATTATATCTATTTTTTGTATAAACAGACTTTAGATCTGATTTTTAAAATTGGATATAAAAAATCTGGTTGAGTGTAATTTCACTAATTTTAATAGTATTTATGTAAGTTGCTCACTAATTAAAGCCTCCATAGAAGCTCAAACCAAGTTGAATAGGCTTATAAGCCCTATATTATGTAACTCATTCCATAAAGATTTTACTCGCAAGCATATTTATATATTTTATTTATCTATTACTTTTGAATTAAAAATTATTATTTTTTAATGTAAAAAATTCTTCACTATTCATTCAAAAATAAATCTAGTCCCTATTCGATTTAGATAGAAATCATATTTTCAATAGATTTTGATAGAAGTGATGAAATTTGTGGTTGAAAAGTTGTAGTCATTTCTGTAAACCCAATCAAAAATTAATCAAACCCATATTCAATACAATCCATTAAAAATTTATATAAATTCAATCCAAAATTAAATCCAACCTAATTCCAAAGACCCAATCTAAAATTAAATCCAGATCTCATTAGATGTGATTAAAATTGATTGTTGACTTAAATTTTAATCAAATTTTTTAACTGAACCAAACATGGGCTTAATTTATTTCTAACACTCATCAATAAAAAGTAATTGTTTTAATGAACTTTTTAAGTAAAATCAAACATGTTTTAAACGAGTAGCTCTTTGTATACCATAAAGTAGGGGTGAGCGACTCGTCTCGTCTCACTTATGAGTCAAGCAGCAAAACACTCATGCGACTCAGCTCATCGGTGGCTTGAGAGCCCACTTATGTTTTTCACGTACTTCATTATTTCATTTAAACTAATGTACAAGAAATATTTATTTGTGTACAATTCTAACTTCGTTCATGTATTGTTGTCAGTATCAAACCTAAATAAAAGACTAATTTTAACAACTTTCTAAAGCTTCTGATAAAATATAATTTTTTTACGTATTTCTATGTAAATTTATGTTATGCTTCGAAAAAGTTAAAAAGTGCAATTTGCAACTTTAGTGCACATTTTAAAATAATCCTAATAATAAAACGAGCCCCAGCACGAGCCGCCCTCACCCGGCACATTTAGCACCCATTCCATAAAGTATCGTCCCCCACTCCACACAAGACAGGAGAGAGAGAGCGAGCGAGCTTTGTGCAGTAATGGCTTCCATGGCTTCCTCCAGTGCCCATTTCATCCATTGCAGAACCTACAACAAAGGTCACAAAGCTTCTCCTTTCCCTCGTATCAATATCGTAAATGGGTCGCACAAAGAGGAAGAAGAGGCCCCAAAAAAGAACACCGACCAAAAGGGGCGCAGGTATTCCAATTTACCATTTTGCTTCTTCAATCAAATGAATTTTCGACTAACCCCAATAAATCTATGTTTGAAAGGGAAATATTATTGAGGAGCAGTGAAATTGCGGTTCTCGGATCAATTTTCCATTTCAGGCACGTTTTTATCGCCTCCTCATCTCCTCCATCCTTTCTTTCAACCATTCACTACACATTATTACTACTTAGGAATTAAAAATAATAATAATTTTTATTGTTGAGGAGGACAGTGGAACGAAGCCAAATTACTTGGGGGTGCAGAAGAATCCTCTTGGTCTAGCCTTATGTCCGGCCACCAACAATTGTGTTTCAACTTCTGAGAATATCAGTGATGTTACCCACTATGCCCCGCCTTGGTAACTTGCTATTTCTCATTGCACTCAGTTTTTTTCTAATGGAAATGTACCTAACTTTGAAATAGAAAAGTGGGGCAGCTCAAAGTTTGGACGGTGATACTTTCATATTGAAAATTATCCAACATTTGGCCATTGATGATGGGATTGTTTTGCATATTATTTTTCAGGAATTACAACCCCGAGGAGGGACGTGGAAGTAAAAACCCCGTGAGTAAAGAAAAAGCAATGGAGGAGCTTCTTCAAGTGGTACAAATTCAATGTGTTTCCTTCACAATTCTTCTCTCTTTATAATTGAAAAGTTTAACGAATTTTTAATTGTTGCATGGAATAGATAAAATCAACAAAACCAGACAATTTTAGTCCAAGAATACTAGAAAAGAGAGATGATTATGTGCGCGTGGAATATGAAAGCCCAATCATGGGGGTAGGTGCAACAAATTTGTGTTATTCTAAAGTTTTTATTTACTCCCGAATTTGAATCTTCTTTTACTCGTTTCAGTTCGTTGATGATGTTGAGTTTTGGTTTCCACCGGGCAAGAAATCAATCGTACAGTACCGTTCAGCGTCACGTTTGGGGAATTTCGACTTTGATATCAACAGAAAGAGAATCAAAGTAAAAGTTATTTGGACTTGCATCTTGGATATTATTGCACTTTTCACCTAAACTAATACGGTAAAATATGTCAGTGACGTAAATTTCTTGATCTGAAACAGGTACTCAGGTTAGAACTAGAAAAGAAGGGATGGGCATCAGAAAACACATTCTGACTAGGCGCAAGAGCAGCATTAGAATCAAGAGATATTCTCATCGCTGCAAAAATGTTCCCACGTTTTTATGTTATATGTATCTTGTTATATTGTACTCTGGTTTGGATACCGAATAAATCAGAATCCATAAAAAGTTTAAAGTTTTAATATTTCAAAGCTTGCTCATGTATTTCAAGAAATGCCATTCAACAGAGTCAACATTTAAACATGATCAAAGATTCAAACACAAGCTAGGACATAGTTCAAATAAAGAAATGCAAGTTTCCAGAAATAAGTCATTGTCACAACATTTTAATTAAAGGATGCAGACCGCGAGTCCGGGAGTTAAAATAAGTAACTTGCCACTAGAACGCAAGAATTATCTGGCAATCACCCTCTACAGCCATGCGTGCATCAAGTCTCCCGACTTCAGCAAGAGCATCAGCAAAGAAGCAGGGGAGAGGACTCAATCTTTCCTAAGCTCCATGTACTCCTGACGTATACCACTTGCATTCATAATGAGAATTTCCAGTTTGTCACCCTGTAAAACATATACAACAAGCACAGTCTAGATAGCAGAGGACAAAAAATGGACAAATGAAATCCAGATCCGCACATAATCCATCTAGCAATATGGTCCAATAGGTTTACATATCTGAGCTCTTTTCGGAGGGAAACTTTTACATCAATACAAGATTCTTAGGTATTATTAGAGTTTTGTTGATGCATTGATTTCCCTTGTTAGAATCTTAAGCTTTGCTTGAAAGGGTATTGATTCATGCATAAAACTTTGCACATTGGCGGGGGAATTGGGAAAGAGAGTATTTCAGGTCTTTTCCCCGTCCCAATGAGGTACTAGTACATTTTTACATCATTAGGGCCCAAATTGTAAAATTCTCTATACATTCCTTATATGTACTGAACAGGACTAAAGTGACTAAATAATACATTAAACAAGATTTCAACTTTTTTTCTTCCTTAATGTTGTCCGATGCACCTTATCAAACATGCAGTATATCATTAATTTATGATAAAGCTTCTTCTAATGGTAATATTTGATTCTGAAGGCAAAATTATGCTCTTACATTCAAAGATGAAACTATATAATTACAAGAGTTCGCCTAGAAGGATTTCAAACACGTGCAACCCTAATGCGGAACTTGGTGCAGATAATTAAAAGGGAAAGCTCCACAAACAAATCAAAGGAAAGCAAATGACTTTTCCTGATTAACAAAATAGAAGACACACTTACAGTATATATATCCCTTTCTGTTGCAGACGCAAAACAGGTTTTCACCAAGTCAATGGCTTCTGACTCTGAAAGTGGAGTAACAGCATCCTGCAGAATATCATTAAAATATAACTCGGTCATACTTGATATAAACTGTATGTAGAAATTATCTATGCAAGGAAGACAAAATCAGACCCTGGCAGGTAATAAGAGAGGGCTTGGAGACTTCAGTTGGTTGTCTAAAAAGGGCGTGATAAGTGTAGAACCGGAACCCTGGGAACTGTATCCAACCCTCTCATAAGATCCAACAGCATCATATGTGAAGACACAGCCCTTTCCTTCAGGATTTTCCCCAAAAAGAACAAAGAAAAAGAAAATAGCACGATGTAAGTAATGATAGACGTAGAACATACCAATTGAAATTCGCTAAAGTCTTACCTTCGTGGTCAAGACCCCCCAAAACATTGAATGCGTAGTATGGAAAGAAACGTTTGTAGTACAGAGTATTAGAGAGCAGCTGTGCCATTGCAGGACAGCTCATTTGCTTGTTATGCTGGTGCTGATATTGCTGCAATTAACGAAACAGGAAGGAATTATCAGGCTTCAGTTCTATACATATTTCCACTACCTTAAGCTCGCAGCACCGAAAGAATTCAGAGAAGCAATTATAAAACTCAGTCTAGTCATTTTGCAAAGATCCAATCATCACTAAAAGCAGAATTGATCAAATTTCCACAGTTTTCAGTCCACCAAACAGGAGAGGCAATGAAAAAGGAAGGAAGAAAATTGAGGTTTCAATCTTTTCTGGGACAGAAAGAGACTGCAATGAGATAAAAGAAGGTTTGCATATGCAATTTATTCATCATAAATTAGCTCCTTGAATAATAACCAAAACCTCTGATGGCATAATGCAATAAGCCAAAGGAAAGTGAAATAGTCATCTACCTGAAACTCTAGATATGACACAAATTGAATGAAGTAAATCGAGAGGAATATGAACACAGTTATACTTAAGTGATTTGACACCCTTGGCTGATAAGGAAAAAGGGGCTGGGACGCCCTTAAAACTTCACACTAACATTTGTCATTTAGCAATTGAAAGAGGAATATGAACAGCTCAATGATGATATGCATACCTTGACCCTATACATATTTAACTGCCTCTAGGGAGATTAAAATTAGAAAGTCTTCCAATAATCTTAAAATGCTTAAAGAATATACCAAGTGCTTAGCTGCCAAGACTTTCTGTAGAGCTCTCACATCAGCCTGAAAACCTGAAGAGGCCAGCACGGATTTGTCCGCTCTACATTATCAGAGAAACAAAAAATACACTTTAAATCTTTGCCAAGAAAAGGACAACTTTGAAGCAATCAAGAAAATTGCAAAAAGTAGGCATACACAACAATCACATATTGCCAAATAAATTCATGATGAGAAAGTCTCATAATACAGTCTGCAAAAAGTTGAATGGAAAAATAAAAATTACCTTTTCTGAGTAAGAAGGGAAGAACGAATACAAAAACTAAACATCATTAACCCTTTATGCAAACGGTCTTGAGGTAGTACAACAATGAACAACACTTAAATGAATAAAAATGAATATGGTAACTCTTATCATAGCCCCTTTCTGAACTAAGAAACATAGTTTTCACATTACTCAAGTTTCTGTTCAAGTCATACATTTAGCAAAGGGAAACGAGAAAGTTGAGAAAGAAATTGATTTCTCCTATGCCCTTCAGTGAATAAAAAAGGTCAGATAAACTCAACTTGATATCCCATACTTATTTGCGATAAAATGTCAAATGAAAAAACTAAATAACTTCCAAATGAAGTTTAGATCTATGTGCCTTTATCACAATTTTGCTTGTACAAAAACCACAACTTTCTCTCTCCAATGCCAATTTTGCCAAATTCTAAGAAGAGGGTAAAGTTCTCTCCCTAAATAAAAAATTCCAATAACACTACTACAAAATATGCCAATCTTACATTTGGATGCTACCACCATCAATGACAAGACCGTCAAAAAGACAGGTGCAGAAAAATGGCTCGAGTAATTACTTATTTGTTAACAAATTTGTGAATAACATTCCATCTAGTACTAAAAAATTTAAATTAATAAAACAACCTACTGACGCTTTTTATTTCTTTTTTCACAAGGATCAATTCAAAAATTAAGACATACAGCAGTGCAAAGTCAAAATCCTTAATAAATGGGAAATAAAATGGGAAAACAATTCATTACAGTTGATTAATTTTGGAGTAATCACGAGTGAGAATGTTGTAGCCAGAGGACATTCGAGTGTCGGCCGCAATCACGCAGTAATCAGTTCCCGCAATAGCAACGCATGTCCTGCACGCACAAACGCCGAGATGAGAAACTAACATCATAATATCTAAATAATAATTTTTTGGTGCATATAAATCGAACTAGGGTTTTGCATACCCTCCATTGTTATCGTAAGGAGACCAATTTGCCTGCTGTTTAGTCATGGTGATATCTGATCCAAGAGAATGGGAGAGGGGCGATTGAAAATTGTAGTGCCTTGTATGAAAATGAATTCCACTCGACCTTTTGAGCTCTCAGTATCTTTTTTCTCAAGAAATTCAAGAAAATATTCCCAATTTTTTTTTCATTTTTGACAGGCGATTGAAACGATGTCGTTAATGTTTTTTACTTTTTGCACAAATGATCCCCAACTTATGGCCTCTGTGCACAGTCAAACTCAACTTTTTAAAGGGTGTTAACCGAAAGCAAAAGAAAAAAAATTAAAATTAAAAGAAAAGCATAAATAAATAAATTCATTTATCTTCCCCATTCATACCTTGAAGAGGTTTTCAAGGTCTGGTGGACTAACAAGGTGGTATAATTAAAGGAGTTTGAGAGTTAACGACTTAACGAGATGAATTAAACAATTGTTTAGAAGTCTAAGTAACACTAATCGTTAAGTTCAATGACACTTCAAGTAATTAACCCAGTCCGCAGGTTAACAACACGCAGGATTTTTCAAAAAAAAAAAAATGATGGCAAAATTAAACATGTTTGAAATTAGTGTAAAGTTCAATGGCAATTTGTATGGTCAAGAGCCGGTTTGACATGACTTATTTTTGCTTTTACTTCATGCAGAACATTTTTAACTTCACATTCTTAAATAAAAATCGTTATTCCAAAATATAAGGGTCTGTTCTCTTTGTCGTTTTCGAGCCGTTTTCTATTTTCGATTTTCGAAAACGTCCAAAATGCGTTCTCTTTCCTATTTTCGAAAACGATTTTTTGAAAACACAAAAAAAAAATTGCACTGAAAACACAAAATGATTTTTTAACGTTTTGGATGTTTTCTGTACAATACTCGAAAAATTTTGAAAACGCGCAAAACATGGCATAATGTTCCAAAATGACCATTTCTTCCCACAACCCAAATCTATTTTCGTAAACGTCCAAAATGCTTTCTCTTTCCTATTTTCAAAAACGAGTTTTTGAATACATAATAAAAAATTGCACTGAAAACACAAAATGATTTTTTAACGTTTTGGATGTTTTCTGTACAAAACTCGAAAAATTTTGAAAACGCGCAAAACATGGCATAATGTTCCAAAATGACCATTTCTTCCCACAACCCAAATCCAATCTCTTCTTCTGTCTTCTCTCTTCTCCAGAAGAGAATAGACAACGATCTCCTCTTCTCTGCAACCGGACGCTGTTGTTGAGCCGGTGCCGACACCGCAGTAAGGACTGGGGAGGCGACGCTGCTGTGAACATAGCGTCGCGACCCATGGGAGGGGGTCGGACGCTGCAGTGGACGTTCGTCTTTGCCGCCTCTCTCTTCGATGCCGGCGACGTTTGTCTCTACCTCTTATCTCTTTTTTCTGTAGTATTTTTGTTTGGGCATTTTTTGGTTGTATTGATTTTGGTGATGGTAGATGGTTGATGATGGTGTTGATTGAAGTTGATTTTGGAAGTGGTTGAAAATGGTGGTGATGTTGATTTTGGCAGTGCAAAGAAGTGATGGTGGTGGTATTGATTTAGGCCGGGTAGGGCAGTGGTTGAAGGTGGCGGAGGTGGTGTTGATTGAGGTCGATTTTGGAAGTGGTTGAAAGTGGTGGTGGTGATGTTGATTTTGGCAGTACAAAGAGGTGGTGGTATTGATTTAGGTCGGGTAGGGCAGTGGTTGAAGGTGGCGGAGGTGGTGTTGATTGAGGTCGATTTTGGAAGTGGTTGAAACTTGAAGGTGGTGGTGGTGATTTTGGCAGTGGTTCATGGTGTTTGTGGTGGTGTTGTGGCGATTTCTTTAAAAAACTGTTATACACAAAACATTGTTTTGAGTTTCAAAGTAAACGTGTTTTCTAGTTTCATGTTTCAGAAATAGTTTTCCAAAACAACAAACAGAACGCATTTTCAACAATCTCAAAACAGACACTCAAAACACAAAACGAATTCAAAACTCAAAACAGAAAACTAAAATACAAAGAGAACAGCACCTAAGTTTCTTACAAAAATGGGGCTCAAATAGGAACTTAATTTTAAAATAATTTTTAAACACACTTTCCATTTTGGAATGGTTTTGAAGGAAGTCACGTTAGACCAATTTTCTCGAAACTCTTTTAACTACTAGAAGTACTTTCATAAAATTAGTCAAATATGTTCAAAAGTAACTTTTGAATCTTAAAAACCCCTTTGACTTTTCAAAAGCCGCACCGAACATCCCTAGAGCTCGTTTAGTAAATATTAAAATCCAATTAAAACTGAAAATATAGTCGTTATTGGATATCACCCGTCTAATAAAAGTCAATAATAACGACTAATTTTTCAATTTTAATCCAATTTTAATCTCTACCGAACATGCCTCTAACCCCATTGAATGGGTTAGGTGGTACAATTACACGACAATAAACTGATTCTATACAATTCTGGACACCGCATGAAATTCTGACATTTTCTTGTGTCAAAGTAAAATTATCGTGGGGAATTTCATAATTCTCAAGAAATCTTGAGATTTTCGACCTCCAACCTCTCACTGAAATCACAAATACCGTAGTATCCACCACTACACAAACCAGTGGCAGTACTCCTGAATTCTTCTATCCCCTGTTCTCATAAAAAGCCAAAACATTCTTCGCTTGGGTTGCACTGAAGTTCGAAAGAGTACATGCCTGCTGGAGGACCTCACTTTTTCCTCTCCACTTCCTCAATGTTGGAGCTGAAATTGGTTTCTATGGGAGAGCAGATTTTCCATCAGTTGTGATTCAGTGTTAAGCAAAAATGATGCATTTGTAGAATGCTGTTTACTGGGCCACCGGAATGTTTTCCTTTCCTGGATAAACAATCAGCCCTAATTAGTCAAATACATTGCAATTAATATGATGCTTTTGAGGAATGCTGTTTTATTGAGCTACCGGACATGTCTATCCTTCCTGGATAAACAATAAGCAGCACCAAACAGTGAAATACATAGCAACCTTACAAACCATTGTCAATGAAACCGGATGCGAAGGCACAATCACGTATTAATGTATAATATCCGGAAATTCCAAGTAAGAGTTTTCTATAGAATTTTACCAGAAGAACAAGTGATGAAACCATTTTGGTGATGGGTGAACTGTGCTGCTTCGCATTCCGAAAATGCTTCCAACAGGGCTGTCAATGGTTCCCGAAGTTTATTCTGTCCCAATTACATAGCAATATACAGTATTCAAAAGTTAATTCAAGAGTAATTGTACTCTCTGCCATAGACAATCTTGTTTTTTCTCCTGCTTTAAGGCATAGTATTGTTTAACGCAGGATAATAACAATCTGCAGGACACAAGGATAATTGAAATACTGATTCCAACAAACCATGAATAAAGATAGCCCGTCACACAAGCAACCAAATACAGCCAAAATATATTATAAATGTGGAGCATCTTGTCCACAGGAAAAACCTGAGGATCTCAGTTTGAGCAGAATAAGAAATCACTAACAAGTTCTTGCACCAAAGTACAAGATTTCAATTGCTCATTCTCCCTCCAAGGCTATCCCATTTTGTATCGATATCTCCACAGTTGCCTTGACAACAATGAAACTAAAATAATGAAAATGTACATATTTACACAGTTTGCCATAACAAAAAGGGCATGTTACTCCACAGCAATGCCAATAAACAATTCAATAATCAAAGCTACTCTAAAATTCCCCTAATTGATGCCACTGACTACTTATCTTTCACCGAATTTCAAGGAGAAAATGTATTACAAATCTGGAGTTTTTCTCACAAGTATCATAACATGCTGGAATATATGACTTTAAAATGTTAGTAGATTTGGATATACTTCAGTCATTTCAAGCATGTCAGAACCTAAGCAACTTTCTAGCATGATTGATTTAGAAGATTTGAGCAAACAGATTGTGCTTAGTTTGAATAATAGACAGACGCAATACATTTACATTAACATTAAGTTCCAGACAATGGTAAAGCATGTTCATGGCTGCACAAGAGTAGTGTAACTGACATACAACTCCAACCCCCACCTATCCATGCACAGTAAATCTAAAGCTCAAACAACAGATCTAAATCTGATTTCTTGAACGAGATGCTTGTATCATAAGTAATAATGCAATCCAAATGCTATTAAGATATCACATGGAGGTAAAGAAAATCAAGTTCAATTACCTCCAGAAGACTTCAAGCGTCCTCATTAGGATTTACTAGCAAAATGGCTAAATGTAACAATACTACACTGTCGAAAGAGGTCGTTGATAAATATTCTGGTGCCCATGGCTAATAATAACCAGCTATGGATCATATTTCATCCATTCTTAAAGATAAATAATTCTTCAGCCCAAGCACTAAGAGAATACTCTTTCTTGATGTCTTATGCAGTTGAAGGAAATGCTAAGCCTCGGTGGATTTCAAATTATAACTTGCCAAATTCTTCAAGCTCGGCTTTCATTTAATTTTTCCAGCAAGTATATCAAACTCCATACTCCAATAACAATTCTGGTTTGATCTAACGTTTAAGAAAATCCAATGGTTCATTCTTTATTTAACACGGTCAACAAAATTTTAGTAATCTAGGTTTGTGCTTATAGTAGTCAAATAAAGCTTCAAATCGAAATAGGCCCAATGTCAAGAAGATTAGACACTTCTCCTGAGAGTAAATAATGACAAGTGAAATTATGGTAATCCACCTCTGATTCCCCCCAGCCCCCTCAGATAATAGCTAATTTTAAAATGTATAGCTAATTTTAAAATTGTGAGTGGACGCTCTTCAAGAAATATTGATCAAAATCTCTAAATCCTCATCAAGAAACGAGACAGAAAGTACAAATCATTTCTATGATCCAAAGGATGGGTGCGGATCATTGAACAAAGCGCATTAGCATTCCAGGCCAGGCATGATAGACAGAACACGTCTATTCAAACTTTAGCAGATGGAGAGAACAGGACTACTATTTGGCAGACTATCAAAAGAAAATTTTCGCCCTATTGAGTTAAATGGCTTTCTATCTGGTATCTAGAACTCTCTTAAATAAGTCTATTAAATTTTGAAATATTAGACCGAGAATGTAACTAATTGACCCGTAACCACAGGAGAGAGGTAAGCTAGACAAATAAAACTGATAACTCTTTCTTGGGTCAGGTACATCGAAGAGAAAACGCCAAATTAAGAAATATAAAAATTTTACAAGTTTGCAGTATAATATTTTCATTATCTAATCCTTTTTGCAGAATAAGCACGGTTGATTTGGCCTCATAAGTAAAGAACATGAAGCATAGTATTAACCAGAAAGCCAATAATCATGGCGATCAGGTATGAATTTGAAAATATTGAACATGCATATTAATAGTCTAAAAAAAAGGGAAACAATGTAAAATAGATCAGGAACCAGTTTGAAGCAAATCTAGAACCGAACAACAAAAAGATAACCATGCCATTTTTAAATGACGGTCACAAAACAAACAAACAAATGAACAAATCAATCTGACAGTTATCACCTCTGTTACCAGCATAGAAACACAGCTCAAATGACTATCAAAACTTTCTGTGTACATCCTCGTGACATGAAAACATGTACCAATAGTATAATAAGATTATACATACTATATAAAATCAATTGATACCCATTAAATTTATGAATAATTAAAAAAAAAAATCTCACTGACTTTATATTACTATGTAGCAAATTTGTAATAACCCTACTACATGATGAGCAGATGGGACAATGTACTACTTCATACATTATATGATTATATAATAAGCTTTCTTTGATGGCTGCACCACTAAAACATCGGCCACAATAAAAATAGAAGCATCTGTAAGCAACAAAATTGCTATCAGAGCAGCATGAACGATACTGGAAAAAAAAATAGAGCAAAATAAGAAGTGCTAATTATGCATAGCAGAACAATCAAGTTCAATGTTAAAAGCCGATAACAAGGCCAAAAGAGAGGCATTAGAAGTATATGCAGAAGTGCCAAATTTAATACTCTACAGATTACAGTCAATGAAGATGCCGAAAGACTGAAACTGATGTAAAAGGCTTCAAGTTCTATGCACAGAATATACAACCCACTTCCAACAGAGAAAAGGATGAGTGGTAAGTTAAGTGGGTTCACCAAAATAAATAATCTCTACAAGATCTATCCATGCTCAAATCCACCATTGCTGCAATCTGCATCACGGTCTAATCTACAAGGAGAGTCAAACCATTTTGGATTTTCAGGATAGAAGCCGTCCACCTGTATACCAGAAAGACCTACATCTGAATCCACAGCCTCTTCATGCCTCGAGGGCTTGATCAGCTTCGAATCACACAGCATACCCTTCTCATCGAACTGGCCACATTTTAACCACTTCTCTTCTTTACAAGTCTCTCTTAGTAGATCCTTCTCGTTCCTACTCTCAGCCCTCATCCGATCCCAAGATGCAACCTCCCCAAGAGTTCGCCCAAAGCTGTCCTCGTCATCTTCAATAACATCAGCATCTTTGCCATCACCATAGATCTGTGGACGATGATCGTCACACCAATCTGGTAAATCATGCTCTACCACCAAGACATCATCCAGGTGCTGCTTCTCTGATGGCAACCCTACCGATTTCGAAGCATCTTCCGTTATATTTCTAAGTTTATTTGTAATGTCAAAAAGCTCATGCGTCAAAGAACCTAACAAGGAGGGCTGGATTGTCATGATTCTCCCTTCAAGAAACCCTAACTCATTCCTTAATTCCTGAACCTTCTGCAAAGCCAAATGCTGTATGTCCCCAGAATTCTTTCCCAGGAACCTGAAATCTTCATTTTCCCCTTCTTCAGACATTCCAAACAGTGTATCGTGATCCGTCAGAAATCCCCCTTTATGTCCAACCATTCGATGCATTATCCTCGCATTCCCATCCAGTGGCCCTGGCTCATGCCCTGAATGCACTGCATACAGCTTAAATACAGCTGTACCCTCATCCTCATAGACAAATGTCTTATCCTTCTCGTTATAATTTGATATTGGAACGATCGCTCGAATCCGAAACCCACATCCGCACCTCTTTGATGCATAGGGCTCCCGTTTCAAAATCCGGGATTTCTTAGATGCAGGCTCGCCTGCCCTATGACAAGCGTAATCCTTGACCTCAGCCATAAAAGGCTTGTACCTAATATATTTTTGTCTTATGCACAACACCACCTTATGCTTAGCAGCCAATTGTTGCAACTTAACAGGAACTTCCTTGGCAGGCACATCAAAAGACTCGGTATATTCAAATCTGCGCCTCTTTGAGCGAGGCGCACATCCAGAAGACTCATCCAAGCACACTGGGCAGGACGCTACATATGTCCTAATATAACCCTCAGGGATACCATAAAATTTAGCACCTACAGTCCACACTTGCTTAATTCTCTCCACTGTTTCTTTAAGCCCCAAGTGTTTTAAATCGGCATCACCATGAAATGACATGACTATATCCTGCCACTGATCTACATGGGAAACAAATTGATTGCAATTATTCTTGAAGCAGAGGAAATTATTATTACCAGCGGCAGCAGAAGCCAAGGCGGTGTCTGCAACTTGGACCGTTAGCTTGTCCTGGATCCGCTTCCATGCGGTCAAGTAGGCAGTATCCTCGTTACGGTCCTTCCACACGGACCGCCAACTGGCAAGCACAGCCGTCGGAGTCACAGCCCGGATTTCTTCGGGGGTAGCAAGCCTGCCTTCAATCAAGCACTGGACCATCAAAGCATGAGATTCCTTATTAAAAGTATAAAATTGCGACGATACGTGTGGCTCGGGATTAATATGCACGGAGCGGCGATAAATTGCCCTATTATCATTATTCCCATTACTCTCAATTTGGGAACTCGCCAAATTAGGGTTTCGAGACGGGGCCGCATCGTTTGGAAGGGTTATAGGAAGTTCACCGTCGGATGACGTGTGGCTGATATCATCGTCGTCCTCGTCCCGGAAGAGGTCAAGGGAGAAGGCATCGTCGTCAATGGACGGCTGAGATTGAGGTTGGCGATGGTCTATAAACTGTTCATGGTGGGATGGTGGTGGGCCCAGATGGTGGAACAGATCCTCTTCAATTTTGCTTGGATTCATGAGAGAGTCTTCTTCTCAGTTGATTGTCTATCGAAGCTCTCCAGTCAGTGATTCTGACATAAACAAAGGTTCGAGTTTTCTCTCTCTAAAATTCTCTCTCTCAATTCTTTATCCGTGCGAGGAAATCAACGATAAAAACTAAGCCCCTGTTTGTCTATCATTAATCCAAAAAATTGTTTGCAACAGTAAGATTCTCCACCACAAATTCACCCAAAAAAATATTTCACACACAAATCAATAAAGTTACTTTAATTTTCAACCACACATTCTCCAAAAAATACTATTCATTACACTAATTTTCTCCCAATAATGGAAGACAAACAAGCTCTAAGTGGGTTTACAATGGATATTGCTACGTGCACAACATTGATTAATCACATTTTATTAGATATCATCGTATTCATTCATTTTAAAATTTTTTTTTTTACATTACATGCTAAAATTTTGACATTATTGTCAATCAATATTGTACACTTAAATTTATTCGTGGATCTTTTAAAGTATGAAAATTATTGAATAATTAACACAAAACATCACTATTGCTTTCATTCATCGTACAAATCATCCCTATCATTTTATATTTGACATTTACAATCTTATTTCAACGTTTTTTTGTGAATATCTTTTTTGTCCATTATCTGTTAGGTTCTTCCGTTGAATAGACACATCACACATGGACTGCATTTTCTTCGTGTGAAAAGGGTAATTTTGTCAAGCCACTAGCCTGTAATATATTAAGAATGTGTTTGACACCCATTTTGAAGAAAAAGTAAATTCTGGAATAGTGATTGATTGAAGAATGTGTGGTTAAAAAATAATGAGAATTTTTTGGTTTATATGTAATATTATTTATTGATAGAATGTGTGATTGAAATGAAGAAAGAGAAAAAAAAATGAGAATGAGAAGAAAATCAGTGTCAAACAGGGCTAAATATCATATCATGTGAGAATCATTTTTTGGACGATTTTTAACCCTACTACAATTCAATTATTTTAATAATATCTTACTTTTCATTTTTCAATATGTAATAAATACTACAAAATCTTTATCATGCATAAATTTCGTGTTATTAATTCTTAATTAATTAAGATCAATCTAGAGTCAGTAAATCTAGATTTAATGAATCTTGATCTACGTGAATTTAGAGTTATAAATGAATTTATTTATATTCATGTGTCTAGAAATTTTAATGGGGGTTTAGATTCTTGTGTTAGTAATTAATTCTAATATATCAAATGCAGTATAAAAAGATTGCTCATTTATAATATTTTATCATTACAAAAAATTTGAACCATAGAAATTGAGTTTTGAGAGTTCAATTTTCTTATCTTAAATTTCTATTCTAAATTTTATTTTCTTTAGTTCGTTTGAAACTTATCAAATCCTCCCAACAAATTGGTATCAAATATTATTTTTTTAACACTCAAAAAGTATTTCATAATAACGTGCAATGCGCGTTCAACTCTTCTGAAAATCGCAACACGAATTGGACAAAAACATGCCCCAAACCATAAACCCCAAACCCATTTCGAAAATCCATCTGGGGCGCTTGGTTCTTCTTTAGCTTTTACTTTAAGCCCATATTGAATGAGAAATCAAAGGCAAAGATAGTTCATGACAGTAATGGAATTTCTACGTTTGATAAATCCAATCTCCAACCTGATGTTTTCTTGGTTCAGCGTGATATGGAAAATATGTATATGTGGGTTTTCAAGGAAAGGCCCGAGAATGCTTTGGGAAAGATGCAGCTCCGGAGTTATATGAATGGGCATTCTCGTCAGAGAGAGCGTTCCTTTTCGTCTAGTGTTGATAACGGTTTTGTTCGATCTCATCGGATGCAACGTAAGCATTACAAGGGACTCTCGAACCCTCAGTGTGTTCATGATATCAAAGTAATTCCATCACCCAATCTCAATGGTCATCTTCATGATTCTCATCCCACGTTCAAAGTTACCTTGGAATCTTTTTTGCTGTCGGATGTCTTGTCCAAGTTTCTCTCGATCAAAGATATACATAGTAGAAGGTGAAAAGCAAGAAAGAAAATGTATGGCTGGATATGGTCTGATTCGGTTCGTTCTCTTCAGAATCGAATCGATCCAAAATTTTCAGATATTTAATAAATGGAATCATCAGGTTCATATATAATTATGGAACCGTTCGGATTCGGTTCCCTTCGGTTCTGTTCGGTTCCGTACCATAATTAAATTTTTTAACATTTACAACAACACTACATAAATATAACTAATAATATGGTCATTCGTAACTATTACAAATTAACGTAGCCCAATTTTAAAACATATAAATAACAAGCTGTTCAATAAGATTAATTCAATATATACAAATACCAAAAAGTAGAAAATTATTTAAATTTGCTAATTTGTTTAGAAAAAAATTAAATTATTTAATTAATTTAATATTAAAAATTACAAAAATTATTTAGATTCGATTCTTCGGTTCTTGGCCTAGAATCGAGAACCGAACACATCGGTTCTCGATTCAAATACCCGCTCGAGAATTTAATTTATGAAGAACCGCTCAGTTTGATTCGGTCCGATTCGGGACTTTTGTCCAGTCCTAAGAAAATGTGTTCATTGCTATGTGATAAAGAAGAAAAAGAAGTTGGAAGGCAACAATCAGGGGCATGCCCTTACAATGGAGGGAAAGTGGAAGCAGTAGAAGTTGGAATTCAGTGGAGAATTGGCTGTTTGCCCTTATGTTTCACATTCAAGTGGAAGTTTTTTTGTATGCGTCATTCAAGGCGTTTGATTCTATATAATTGTAGAATTAAATATTTTGTTACTTGAATGTGTATAGTTAGTTTAGTTTTGAAGATGAAAATGTTAATTTGGTTTGAATTGTCTTCATCCGATCTAATCTGATCATTTATTTTCTTGATGGACCGATACTTGTAGTGTGCAGTTTTTACTGTGGCTCTTGAATTTACTAGTGCAGCCCGCATGAATGGAATTCATTTATTGTGCATGTGGAAACTTTGTCCAAATGTGTCTTTGCTGATTTTTTTTTTTTTTTTTTGTTGACGTAGGAACCCACAGTCATTACCCGCCAGTGGAGCCCCGACCACCCGAAGGGGCGAAACCCGACCACTGTGAGTGCGCACTAGGTAAAACTCACTTCATGTGCGATAGCCCACAAACCACATAAAAGAGGTAAACTGCATTAGGCAAGCCCGATGCGACAGACTTGACCGATGAAGTGTTGGCAGAGGATTCGAACTCGTGACCTTTGATCTCAGTCTGTCCTGATTATTTCCATTAGCCAATGTAGCTATAGACCGTATTCATGGCACGAACAAGGCACCTCCTGGGAGTCATTGGTATGTTATCCCCAGCATTTTTTTGATACTTGGATGAGAACTTCTTATTCATTATAAGAACTTTGAGATTGACTTTCTTCATGTTTGATCATTCATTCACAATTTCACATCCCAATCAAAATCTTCATTTTTATACTGATATTAGGGAGTAACCAAAGCAACAAATTTTGTAGCTATAAATGTATTTCTACTGATAATGTGATAAATTATTAAAATGATCCTCAACAATTTTCATTATAATCAACTACCGGAAAGTGTTGTGAAGATGTCATAAACTTATCACACACGTAATATGTCTCACTTTACTTCCACGTAGATCGCAACTAACTCGTTTGTCAAGGCCAATAAAAATGAAAATTGTCTTCCTAAGCCTCAAATTTGTACTCTGCTTCCTAAATCATCTTCTAATTATCCTCCTTGGAAAGTCTACCATTGTAATTGATAATTGTGATCTTGTTCTTCTGCTTGGTGGTGTTGTCCTAGCAGAGACATTCAAGATACCATTAGCATCAATGTCGGAGCACACCATGATCAGAGGAACTCTCCTTGGTGCTGGAGTAATGCCTGAGAGCTCAAATTTACCAAGCAAGTTGTCGTCCCTAGTCCTTGTTCTCTCACCTTCAAATACCTGAATCAACACACCAAGTAAAAGCAGTAACTTAATTTCTTAGCAATCTCCATACTTTCCCAGCCAAGAACTGTATCAAACTACCATCAAAGAATTCAGTTCAGATTGTTAATAATAGATCGTTCCTCCTATTTTCAACATGATCATTACTAGAGCACCCTAATGTGTAGACCAACCAAAAAAACCCATATCTAAGTTCAGTGTGTATACAAATATTAATTGGTCAGACCAATTTTTTTTTACAGCCATCTCAGTTCAACAATAAAATCAAAGTGCTAATTTCAAGTTCAATTCAAAAATCGTAGATGACAATCCCTTCACAACCATCCCTAGACCAACATAAAAACTAGTGATACCATCCTAATAATTGTATGCAATATCTCACAAAAATCATCTTCAAACTATGAAATATGCCATGAAAGTGAAAAAAAATGTTTCAACTTTACCTTCGTACGATTCATCCATGTCGACTTCCCTATCGCTTCTTTACGCTTGCGAAGGGCTCTTCAAGTGGTCAACAATGGCGGATAGATGCTTCTATAACTGATTAATTAGATTGAGTAATGCTATTTAGCCTCACTGGGGTTACAACCCCAATCTATGTGGCTCTAAATGATAGGTTAAATGAAAAGTGAAATTAAATGACTTATTTAATTTCACTTATCATTTAATGCCACATTAATACAATCTAAATTGGAGTTGTAACCCCAGTGGGGCTACATGGCATTACTCAACTGGATTTGGGGATTAGGGTTTTTGGGGATTATCTAGATTTGGAGATTATCTGAATTTAGGGATTAGGGTTCACAATTTCGACTTCGATCACAGAGACGAACTGGGTTTTCATTATTCTGGATTTCAAGCTTCTTCTTGGCTATGCATTTCTATTGATTTTGGTAAGGCTGTGTTTGGTAAATGTCTTCTTTGGAAAATAATGACGTGGCACTAAGTTGGCGAATGAATTTATAGTAGGATGGAATTAACGGTCACGTTGGTTTTCCGTTATCAGCTTAAGCATCATTTTTTAACTCTATCCGTCCAGTGAGTAATGGACAATGACGGTGCAAAATTCAGTGGCTAATGAGACAATTGATAAAGTTCATGAGTAAGTCGAGCATAGTAGAAAGTTTGGTGACTATTGAGACATTTAAAGGAGTTGTTGGGAAAATGATTGAATAAAATACAAGGGGAAATGATTATAAAGTAGTTGTTGGGATGTGCAAATCATTTTGACCATGAGGCCCAAAGTGACTGAGAGGTCTATAGAAGTCCATTCCATTGACTCGGGCGTCATTTGATGTCACGTTTAACTTTGTTGTTGTGCAACTTTGGTTTGTGAAATTATGCGTAAATCCGTATGTTTTGTAAAAAAAATTTAAGAACTAATAGAAAAATGGTAATCTTTTTCGTTACTAAATACGCCTATTAGTTAAGATTTAATTTTTTAGTAAATTTTGATAAAAATTACCTAAATGCATGATACAAAAGTAAATAAAAATTAATTGAAAATATGTTTAAAAAAATAAACTTTAAAAAATAGGGTTCAAATATGAGCATAACGTTTTGTATCCTGTGTATTCCCAAGAATAAAAAACATTACCATTAAAATTCTAGCCTTTTAAGATAAAACTTCAACCCCTACTATGATATCAAAATTCATTAAATTCAAACAAGTATTTTAATCCAACTAAAACTCAAACGAACACGTATTCTACGGATGGTATGCTCAAACGAGTCACTATCTTGCAATGCATATTAATGAATAAAACAAGACCACGAACATACACTCCTCATTGTAGTACAATCTTATTCGGTACAAGTTATAGTTAACATCTTGAAAAAGAAAATATAAAATTTACCATGATTACATGCTAACATATTATGTTACATGCTCACTTTCCGACGTTCAAATCACCTTGAGGTGGTGGGTTATTCAGATTCAGATTTTGCTGGATGTCAAAATGATTTGAAATCAACCTCACGTTATATTTTCATGTTGGCCGGTGGTGCTATCTCGTGAAAAAATGTTAAGCAGACTCTAGTAGCATCTACTACTATGCAGGCTGAATTTGTGGTATGCTATGAAACTACAATTCAAACCATTTGGTTAAGGAATTTTATTTTTGGGCTGAAAGTTGTTGACTCCATCTCGAGGTCAATTACTATTTATTGTGATAATAGCGCGGCAGTGTTCTTTTCAAGAAATAATAAAAGTTCTAGTGATCAAAACACATTGACATCAAATATTTGGTGGTAAGAGACAGAGTCAAGGAGGGACAATAGAAGATAACATATTAATACAGAGGCGATGATTGCAGATCTTTTGACTAAGGGACTTACTCCTAAAGTTTTTAAAACACATGTTGCTAACATGAGTATTGTAGAAACCTTTGATATTTTTTGTTAGTGGGAGTTATTTATGTAAAAGAACTACATTTTAGCTTGATCTCTTCATGGTATACGTAGACAACCCATATGTTCTTCGCGTACAGCCCATTCCATTAATAAAATATATTTTCCTCTATTCATAAATTATTTTGAGCATGTATTTGACTTATATCTTTTATTATGATATTATTTTCATCTCGAGATATGAGAGTTAAAGACATAAGATGAGTCTCTTTTAGAGACATGTGGCTTCATTTTGATTATAAGCATTTTGAGGACCGATATGAATTAGCACAATTTTTTTATCACATTTGGTGCTAAGTTCATATTGCATACTACCACATTGGTTGGAGGATGGAGATTCATGTCGATAAGGATGTTGGCATTTGTAGCTGTGGAGCGGTCTTATATCGTTTGATTGGTATAACGACTTCCATGATCGATGTTAACATTATTGTTGGACTGGATTATGTTGTGTAAGGTGTTATCATTGCAGTTATACTTGTATGGCCACCTATGTACTCTAATTAGGGTTAGAATCGATAATGAGTCGACTTTATAATTTCCTATATAATTGTTAGGTTCTTAATCCTCTCCATATTGTTTATTGCCTTGCCCCCATTGATGACTTATTATTTTTTAGGAGCAATGAGTAGAAGATCTAGCGGGTAATATTCACACACACAAAATGTCTTCCGCAAGTATGAATTACAAACTATCGATTAATATGTGTGATTCTTGTTCTTAGTATGATTGTATTGTCAATTACAACAAAATAAGCAGCAGCACACTGTCAATCAAGTCTTCGTAGTTTACTATTTTTATCATAATGACTTAATTCAAAATAAAGCAACTCCGAAATTTTGACTAATTGCTTACTTCTTATTAAGATTCTAAATTACATATTCAAAATATTGGTTAAACAGGTTTCAGTGTGAAGTGGAAGGCCGGAATTTAACACCATTTAAGCATCTAGAAACATATAGTGACTGGAGATCACCATCTTTTAGTTCTTCATCAACTGCATTACAAAAGCTTGCTATTTCTGTCGATGTTTCGTCAGACTGGGAGGTGTCGAAATGAGTCATTATGTTAGATCTGCACATGAAACCCGATGAGGACTGAACGTTGGCAGAGGAAAGACTCGGTGGTTGTAGAGGAGGCGGCGGAAGTGGCGGAGGAATGCGGTGCAAAGTTGATATGCGTGCTTGAACGTATGCTAACTCCGCCTGCATATTAACGACCTAAAACCATAGCAAGATTAGTACCACGTACTGTCTCTTGCAGGTTAAACTTGTTAAACCAGTTAAGTTGTTGGAGAAGAAAGAAACTTTATCAGATTACCATTTTTTTCTTAATTGTAATAGAACATGGGAGTTGACAGGTGGGTGTGGGTAGGGGTGGTGATCCATCCATCCATACCTGTTGCTGAAGAGTAAAGATGTGGCCAACGCAACCATAGACAGGGTCCTTAACCCTTGCGAGAGCCTCATAACAAAGAGTAAACACCGCGTCGAGGCGTTTGTGCGGCGGAATTCTTAGAAGCATTTTAGAAGCATTGCTGGCTCCAAACACCTTGTGCACGGCGGCGAAGTGAGTGGTGCCTTGGTCAGAGTCAAAATATGGTGCAAATATACAACCCTTTACACACTTCCTTCTAAGGAACTTGCAGGCACCACAAGGCCCACCACCACTTCCATTTTGACCACTCATCACTCGCTCTTTTTCTCTCTTTACCTTTGCTTTTTGGGAGCAGATTAGCAGAAAAGGGCTAGTTAAAGACTTGGGGAGAGGAAAAGATAGGGATTGTTGCTATTTGGCTTATTTTGTGACAGAGAAGAAATTGAGAACTTTTGATGGTGGATCTTGGGTAAGTGGATAAAATACTAACCCCGTTTGATGCACGTTATTGAGTGGAGAATACATTTTAAATAGTGATTTGTTGGAAAATATATAGTTAAAAATAAAGAAAATTTTTTAATTTGCGTGTACTATTATTTTATTGAAAAATGTGTGGTTAAAAATGAGTTTTGAAAAAATAATTTTTTGTAAAAATATGAATCAAACAGTGCGTAAAATATACTTCCTCTTGCAAGTTGAGAATACCAAAAAAAAAAAAAAAAATCATTGATGTTTACTTGTTAATTTATTGATTATAGGTAGTTCAACATTTAGCTCATATTAATTTAGATAAAAATCGAAATTTTAGTAAATTTTATAAAAGTTGATGAAATATATATATAGAGTAAGAAATAAAACATTAACAACACAAAATGATCAATTTCTCACAAAATCTGATAATTTAAAATGCTTGGATAAATATACACTTGCGAGGTTGGGGTGGTTGCGGTGTGAGGAGCTGGAAGTGGTTATGGTGCAAAGTACAAACTTTAAAGCCACGGCAAAGGGAGATGGAGAAATGGGGGAGATCAGATTGCGTAAAGCAAACATAGACTGCGGTCACAGTACTACAGCAAATTCAACCGCCATGGCCATGGCCATGGAGCTGATGGAGGTGAACGCTCTCCCTCGTGTGATCTACACGTGGGACATGAAGTAAACCATCTAATCATCCTCTCTCTTGTCTTTTCCATCACACACACAGAGGCAATGCTGCTGCCTCTACACTGCAACCCTAGAAAACCCTCTCGGCTTTTAAGTCACTTGAAATTTTCTACCAAACTTTAATTGAAGCTTTTTCACTGAAGTTATTTCAATCCAAAAATTAATAAACATGCAGACTGCATTAAAAGAGAAATCGTAAAAAATATTTAATTCTTATTTTAATTTAGTGTAAAAAATGGATCAGTAAATTGAGTCCTAGTAGAAGTAAAGGTTATCACTTGATTGATTGAAGAAGAATGGGAGGATTTAGTTTACCGAGGAGACGTGATTTGTGATTAATCAGTGATCTTTGATTCCTTTTGTCCCGAATCCTTGTTGGTTAATACTAATTCTATGATTTATTTTTTTATTATTTTTATTTTCCGCCTCATAAAATTAGCACCAGTTTGATAGCCGTTATTCAAAAACTCTTTTTTCCGCTTCATAAAATTAGCACTAGTTTGATAACCAGTATTCAAAACCTCTTTTTTCTACATACTCATTTTCAACCACACATTCATGCAATAAAATATTTTGCGCGTAAACTCAAAATTTTTCTCGACTTTTTAACCAAATATTCTTCAAAATGCCACTATTCAAAATTTTGTTTTTACCAAATAATGGTCATCAAACATAGCTTTAATTTCTTGATTGTTTGTGGGGGCGGTCAAACAACATATTTTTGTTCTATAATATTTTATTAGAAAAATATATTAATACATAAGAGCATCACCAAGAGACTTTTTAAATATTAAATACTCTCTATTTTAAATAGTTAACATTTAAAATCATACTACAAAATACACTTTAAATTAACATTTTAATTTAAAGGGTATATTTAGCTCTCCAAATTTGGAGAGACGAACTCACTCTCTATAATTAAATGTATTTAAAGTGTTTCAATTTCCAATATAAAAAACAATAAATAATCTAGTAAAAGATAAAAGATAAAAAAAAATATTTTTTGGAAATAATAAAATTAAGTGTTAGTATAAAAAGTTTGTTGGAGTATTTCAAAATTTTAACTCTCTAAATTTAGAGATACTTTCCAAATGATAAAATATGTTCTTTAAAAATATAGAGTCTCTTGGAAATACTCTTAAAATGTGATTTAAGTTAAAAGAAGCCAATATTTCGCCAATGCATTGATGCAAGCTAGGAGCATAGCCTCTCATTTTTGTCAAAAATGCATTTTTATTTTAATGGAGAATGTGTGGTTAAAAAATAAGAATTTTTTTTTTAATTTTGCGTTTAATATTATTTCATTGATTAATGTGTTGTTGAAAATAAGAAAGAAAAATATATTTTGAAAACAATGCGAACCAAACAAGGGCTTAGGCAAGGGCAAGGCGAGTAAGGCCACTGTCTTGGGCCTCGCATTTTTGGGGGCCTCCAAAAAAAAAAGGGAACCCCAAAAGCCCAAAACGGTATGACCCTCAAATCCCTTCACACACCTTCATTCTTTCATTTTCACAGAAGCTTCATTCTCAGTTTCACGGCTTCTTCAAGGAATCAAGAGTCTCTGACTCTCTCACCGATGGACTACATGATTTGGGGCAAGATATCAATTATGTAATTTATGTGTTTGCTTTTGGATTTTGCATTCTCAATTGAATATTCATCTGTTATACCGAGAAAAGGGACAAGAGCTTTTATTGTGATTGTTTGTTTAGAAAGCTTTTCTTGTGTTTGTGCCTCAGTGCCTGACTGCCTGCCGTCTGGAATTATTGGTATTTGGTTTGTTCCTCCGTTCCTGTGATTGCTGGCTGTATTTCATATTTGTTTCCTCCCTTCGGACCGTTCCTGTGAAATTGCAGTTCTCAAACTTGCATGAAAGCCCTCCAATTCAAAATCGAAGGTACCAGTACCAACATTTTGATATGGGTCTTTCTCCCAAATTTTTTACAAATTTGGATTTCTGATTTCTTGATTTGATTTTGAATTGTTAACTGTTAGTGATTTGTGGTGTTGGAACTGGGTTGTTGGAACTGATTTGTGCTTAATTATATTCTAAATGAGATTGACTACATGAAACTGGTGAATGTGGTGGGAGGTTGGATTTTGGAATTATGGAATTGGATTAAACAAACTTTACTGTTAACTAATGAATGTAGGAGGTTGGATTTTGGAATTATGGAATTCGATTAAATAAACTTTACTGTTGAATTTATTGCTCACAGTTTGTTGAAATTGATTAAGCCCCTGTTTGACACATATTTTAATCTCATTCTCATTTTTGTTCTTTTTCTTCATTTCAACCATACATTCTCCAAATAAAATAATAATACACATAAATTTAAAATTTTTCATCACTTTTTCACCACACATTCTCCCATCAATCACTATTCCAAAAATTATATTATCATTTTAATGATATTCAAACACGCCCTAATAAGTCTTATTTTCGATCAACCATGTCACAAGAACGATTAAATGGATTAGCTTTGATTTCTATTGAAAAAAAATGCTGAAAAAACTTGATTTCAATTTTAATTATTTAAATATGCTACGCTTGTGAAAAAATGATTATGTTGAAGGGCCTTATAATAATTAGTTGCCTAAAACCTCTAAATTCTTAGGATCTGGATTGGACTACTTATATAGCATGGATCCCAATATTGAATTTTATAAACAAATTATGTTACACAAACAGACTCAAAGACATGTTCAAAAATAAGGGGACACATGTCGACACATGATTGGATATTTAAAAAATAAAAATTAAAAACACCCATAATTATTATCTATCATATCACCTTATCATTCCATCCCTGTCTTTGAGCATGTTCGATGGGCATTATTCTTTATATTCTATAACCCTATTTATCCAAAATCATGTGGCTATTTAACAAGAATAATGTAAGGATCTTGTTACAGGTACACGGGCGTTTACACGCCTGTGTACCCGACCCCACGCCCCCCTCTCACAATGAGGGGGGCCCGCCATTATTTTAATCACCTCGGGGCCCCCCTCATTGTGAATCTTGATATTCACGTGATCAAAATTACTAATATAAACATTAAAAATAATTATGAAAGAATAAAGATTTACATTTAAAATTTTAAAGTTAGAGAAAAAAATACAAGATTTATCAACTATTAAAACCCCGCGTTTTAGAGATTTTTTAAATTTATTTTCAACAATATTTTTTTTAATAAAATAACTTTACATATAAATTTCATAGCTTTCCCTATTTTTTTAATAAAATATTCTCTTAAAAAATCACTTTCACAAAAATTATTCTCAATAATCTATATGAAATATGCTCTTATACAATTACACTACCTTCCGCACACTCCAAATCTTCAAGGACACGAAACAAACATATTGGGTGAGAATATAAAGGACTTCTATTTGAAAATGCACAAAAGGCGTCAAGAGGAAATTTCACAAAATGTCTACTTTTTTGTGTCCATTTGCAAAAATGTTCACCATCGCAAAAGTGTTTATTTTGAAAGAATTTAGACCAAATTACCCTCGTTAACAATTTATAATTCCACATAAACACAAAAATGTCCACTTTATTAAAAATTTTATTGTTCAATAAAATTTGACACATAACCTTAACCTATTTATTTCAAAATTACAATTGTCAAATCGCAATAAATGCAATTTTTCTCATTGACACAGAAATGTCGACATGTTCAAAATGAAATGTTAATTTAGACATTTAATATGTCGAGAACAACATTTGAAATGTCGAGAATATCATTCAAATGTAGTTTCTCATGAAAGCTACTTCTCGAAATTTGTGAAAATTTGGAAAAAAAAAAACAAATTACTTCATTTTTCCATTAAGGACACAATGGATAATTTGGTACAAAATTCAAAATAGTGGACATTTTTCACTTGACACAAAAAAAAGTGGACATTTTTGAAAATGCCCCAAGGCATCAATACAATACTACAAAGATAATTCCTAAACATACATGTAGTTACACGTGTATGTAGAGAGAGATCATTAACACAAAAAAAATATATTATTTAACCCTTGTATCAGGGCGATTCTCACACAATTTTAATCAAAATTTGTATCGTTGAAAATGCAGCAGGCCTCTTCTAACCGTAATTACTCTCATTTGCTAAATTACCATAAATGTCATTCTTT